ACATTAAAATATTAATTTAACATGCTTAATAGCTTTACACAAAATGACTGAAAATTAAATGAATATATTTTCGTGAAGTTGAACTTTTCAAAATATTTCATTATTGTTATGTTACTGATAATGTTTGATTAAATGCGAGTTTAGGTTTTTGTCGAGGTTCGAGTGTCGAGGGTCCAATGTCGAGGGTGAGGGTAAAAAGTCGAGGGTGAGGGTAAAAAGTCGAGGGTGAGGGTAAAAAGTCGAGGGTGAGGGTAAAAAGTCGAGGGTGAGGGTAAAAAGTCGAGGGTGAGGATAAAAAGTCGTGGGTCATAAAAAAGTTGAGGGTTGTATTTTTACGACAGCTAAGACAACTACTAACGATAAAAGAGTTTTTAATACGGTGTTTCTCCTTATGTAAATCATGAATTAAGGGAGAATTCTGGTCTAGAAACTAACTCATTAAGTTGATGGTTTGGGTCGTCTGGTTAAAAGGTTTCACGCACGCAGCATGTCTTCTAGCGTGTAATGTCTCCAGGCCACTTTTGATTAAGGCATTTTTAGATAAAAAGGCGGAATTTTTTCATTAAAAGCAAAGTCAAAGAGCATTTATTGTCAATATTGACTTAAAAGTCTTAAAAAAGTTGCTAAACGTAGTACAATTTCATAAACAGGCCAATGGCAATGTTCAACCGTCCCGCCGCAGATGTGCTTGCGAGGTTGGTCAATGCCAATGTTTGGCCGTGAGACGAGTAATATTGACTGAATCATTTAGCGTTAATTGGTTTCTAGTTGAAACAGTGGCATGTCTGCACCGCGCTATAAACCGCGCTCCGATCTAGCAGAAAACCACACAAGTTTTTTTTTATCACAACTTGCTATTGGTAATATATTTTGCCTTAATGTATTGCCATTACTGGCTTGAGGAGAGGATTACAGCTGCCCGATAATCTATGCTGTTACGTTAATTTGATAAGAAAGCAAAGAGACCGTTCTCATATTAGACATAAACATGTTAACTTGCGAGCGTGAAGGGACTTAGAAAATAATCGAAACACCGTTTTAAAAACTCTTTTATCGTTAGTAGTTGTCTTATAGTTGTCGTAAAAATACAACCCTCAACTTTTTTATGACCCTCGACTTTTTACCCTCACCCTCGACTTTTTACCCTCACCCTCGACTTTTTACCCTCACCCTCGACTTTTTACCCTCACCCTCGACTTTTTACCCTCACCCTCGACTTTTTACCCTCACCCTCGACATTGGACCCTCGACACTCGACCCTCGACAAAAACCTAAACTCATTAAATGCGTGACACTTCAAGTGCCACATTACCGGCTCGTTGTTATCGCAGTTCTGCTTCAGGGCAGGTATTTTGAATTTCGACTCTCTGGTTTAGAAATATCAAAGTATTATAACAATATTTCCTCAACAAATATATGAGCAATAGACAAAGACAATAACTTGTTATGTAAGATGGTGTGATCATATATACAGTAATAAATCTTTCATATGCAAGACAAACTGACAAAGGTCGCATAACAAACCAGATTGAACGCAAGAGCATGTATAGTCTAGTAGTAGAATTGCAATTTTAACTTAATCGTAAATCGCAATATATTTCAGCATTTTCTTTTGCGTCAAAGTAATTTCTGTCTTAATTCTCTGAAACAAAGCAGTACGTTTAGTTAAGTTCAGTATACGATATGGTTTGAAAGAAAAGCAGCGAATTCCTTTACTTGCCACTGGCAAAACTGGCACTCTGGCAAAACTGGCGCTCTGGCAAAACTGGCGCTCTGGCAAAACTGGCGCTCTGGCAAAACTGACTAGCACTTTAGTAAACTGGCGAAACTGGCGCTCTGGCAAAACTGGCACTCTGGCAAAACTGGCGCTCTGGCAAAACTGGC